GGAAATGTTGCCCTGAATGCAGATGGAATGTTTTTCTTCTCCCTGTATTATTGAAGGAGCCAGGAAACGTTTGTTTTTTTGTTTCTAATCTATCACTTGGATATGAATCGGTTATCAAACTCCGTCTGAACAGTAGTTACTGTAGTCTGAACATTGTTGTTTTTATGTTTTAGTGCAATGCTGCTCTAAACTGTTCCAACTCCATATCAGGCACTCCTAGCACATCTAATAACAAACGTCTATCCATAATCCCCCAGGGACTGGCTGAAGCTAACCCACAATTACTGTTTAACCCTCTTCCATTGTCTGTGTACATGTACATAAATCCCCTTTTCCCATTTCCAATTTATCTTGTGGAAAATAATCCCTTGATTCTCCTTTGTCACATCGTTGTAAAGGGATGGATCCAGCCAGTCCTTTTTTTTTAAAACATTTTGGAATGCTTTGGAATCTAATTCTGGCATCTCCAGCGAGGTATTGAAGAGACCTCAACAATGGCTTCATTCTCCAACAAGAATTAAGAGGCAGAGAAGCCTGCCAGTGACTATGGTTTTAATGTTTTCATATTCTAATGAATTTGACAAGGGCAGGAGTTTATTCATGGGACCAGTGGCTAGAGTGTTAGCGTCTGTTCGATTTCACACATTGTAACCGTTTGTAGGGGATGTGGGTAGGGGGAATAGAGGGAACCACTGTAGCACTTCTAATTAATTTGGGCACCAGCAACAGAGAAATTTTTGTTGGCTGCCTTTTTTCTTGCTTTTCATCTCTCAGATGAGCCACGATCAAGATGGCATATCCCGTTTTCCTGCCTGATCACTAGTTCAGGTAGCTGCAGACTTCACTTGAAGATAACTTGGTCAGAATAGTAGACTATTGAAAAATGATTTTTCTTTCTTTTTTTTAAATATCCACATCCTTGTTTCTTGATGATTCCATAGTACATATGCATAGGTTGTTATTAACAATGTTCAATTATCAGCTAGGCAAACTTGCTTTGGGTTCTTAAAGTTGGGTTGTACCTTCCTGCTCTCATATCACCATGAAGTTGGAACTTAGCTAATACTTTTGCTTCCATTTTGAGAACCCTTCCCTCTCCCTACAACTATTGCTTTGCAAGGTTAATGTGAGCAAAAGAGGAGACCAACACATATGTTATCATAAGTAAAACCAGATAATATGACTTAGCATTTAAACTTTGATAAAAAATCCAAATAAGATTCTAAAATTCCAAAAGGAGATCTATGCAGTAAAAAGGTTTTTATGCAGGTGTTGGTTTTTCTGACTATAAATGTATTCCGTTGCATGATTCGCCATTGAGCAGACTGAGGGACTGTTAAGATTGAATGTGAGTTGAAGGCTTAGCTGAAGGCTGAATTTTAAATAAGGATAAACATCTAAATTGGAAAAAGTGTGTGGGGAGGGGTTAGAGAAGATGGAGGGAGGGGTGGGAGAACCCTAAAAAAAAGTTCCCAAGAATTTTAGAGACCTGAATGTGGTAGCCTTGTAGACACTAACCCTCATCTGTCTCTACTGGGCAAAAGCTGACTTCAGGAAACTCCATAAATGCCATACTTCATTGGGATTAGACTATCTGTTATACCTTTTTTTCATGTGGTGCACAAAATGATGATTTCTATTTAGCACAGGGTGTCTAACAAGAGTGCTCATAAATGGTTTCTCTTGGGCTCTCCTAGGGTCTGATCCAAAGCTTATTGAGGTCAAAGAGTTTTGAATTAGGCCCCAATTTCTTGAAGTGAACCTGCTCATAACAATTAAACTGCTTGATTTTACAGGGCAGTTGAAGAAGAGTTAATGAAAATAGAATCAATTTAATAATAAGAATATCAAACTCAATAGTTTCTCTGTAATGAATGTGACATGCTACATGACTTTCTAGTGTTATAAAGGTTTTATTGGGTCTCATTTGAAAAAGACTCATTTCACCGAGGTGCTCATGGTTAAACTCTCCCATCCCAGATGTATCAAATTGCTTATCTTTTATAGATAGGGCTGTGTGAATAATAATACAATTTGTACTTTGATATTTTTCTAAACTTTGGCTAAAAGAATACCATGCAACACAAATGACATGGATCTCCTGCAAAAATAAATACTGGCATTATAGGTGATTACAGTAAAGCACTAGGCTTCTGAGAATAGGAAGTGTATACGTACTGTACATGTATTTCTCCTTCATAACACCAGAAATGTGTTATACAACAATTGCAGTGTGTGTCCTTGAGGCAAATACTTATCATGACAGGTGAATACTTGCTGCTAGCCCTTTCTAGCTGAGCAAATCACATGTCAGTACTGTGGGGCATAAGGCCCAATTTAAAATAGCTGTGCAACACAGTCATGAAAGAAAAATACCTTTGTGTATAGCTAGCAGCCTTCCCCAACAGGAATAAGAAGTCCAATCTTAGTAATTCTTCTAATCCTTGAGCATGAATTTTACAGTTGGTTCTCCTGACAGCAAGCATGCTGTATTGTAACTTCATACACATGCAAATATACCAAAATAAACATAAAATGCAATGAAAAATAAGCAAATTCCTTTTACTTTGCCAAATCACATTTTACATTGCTTTGAATATGCCACTAATTAGATGGGCTCATAAGAAACATAGCAAACTGATGAATGGCTCACTATATTTATGGTGCATTTGAATAGTCTGTAGTTCATTCCATGATATATTGGGAAGGAATAAAAGTGAAAGTGCACAAATAGCACAATGACTTGAGGAATATACGTGCACACGTGGTTACTGTTGGTTTTGGCCACTAGATGTGAATTTGGCTTGAGGCAAAATGATTGCTTTGCAAGTCAGTAAAACCCAAGATAAACACACTGCACCGTGTTATAATTGCTCTTAGGTCACATTTTATGTGATACCCAAAGCCTTTTAAAAGTCTGTCATTAAGTCCCTGAACAAACTCGGCTACCTTGTAGAATCTTATCCAGCTGTCAGTGAAGGGGAAGAAATATTCTAGGCCTGAAGTGACCCCTCTCCCCTCCTCCCCCCATAAAGAAAGTGTGACAGGGTCCTGTATGAGTATTCTGTCCTGGATGGCGAAGACTGGTAATGGGAAATGTTTTGGATAAATTAGCTTGAAAGAGAAAAGAATGAACAGAGCCCTTGTTAAAAAATAAAACAGAAGTTTGAAGGATGATCTCATTGTACAGTTCTGCGGTGTTGAGTTTTTAGCCATCTTTATGGTGATGTGGGCATCTGTAGGTACATTTATAGGACTGGAGGCACTATTGTGCAAATGCAGACCCCATTTAAAGTCTGTAGTTGAGGTTTGTGTATTACATTAACAGGCAGTCCTTTAAACTAGGTGCGTCAAACATGCATGACTCATGGGCTGCATATAGCCTGGAGAGGTAGGTCATCTGGCCTGCCATCTTCTCCCAGTGCCAGAATGGAGGGGAGGGGGTAGAAGTCACTTACTTGTGGCGTCTACATCCCTCCTCAACCTCATGCTGCTGTTAGGGGTGGTGTTTTATGGTGGCACAAAGTGAAAGCAGACAGATGTCCATGCCCTTTGTTGCATCACGGCCACAGATTCAGGCATTTGTGATGCAAAGTAGTATTCATTTGTGCTGTTATTTTGAGGTGCATGTCTGTTTGTTTTAAGGTAGGAGAGTGTGGGTGGCCTGGAGCTGCCTGTGATCTCCAGCTACTGTGGACAGGTGCTCCTGGGACTCCAAGGGCCCAATTTTACTGCCCTGGGTACCCCCCCTGCAGGGAAATTTGTGAGGCACATAGGACTGGGCCCTTGAGGACCTGGGAGCACCTGCCTGGGTTTCCCTGTTTGCAGAGTCATGTCCTGAGTCATGTCCTGCAGGATCAGGCCCCTGCCACTCCTGTCCCTACAGGCCACCAGATAACAAAGCAGCTGTGTTGAGACATATCTCAGAACAATTGATCCGCTTCCTTTGGTGACATGTTTTATAGCCTCAGTGACTGTAGGGGCTGCTTCATCACCTTTGCCTGTAGCTGGATGAGGCTGAGGAGGGGCTGTGAGTCCACATAGACACCCTGGCTGCTTGCCCTGCCAAAACTTTTCACCACAACAGCGACTGGCTGCAATGCTACGGCTTCTCTCTAGGGCTGCCAGAGGTGGGATCGTCCTTTTGTCTATAATGAAGTCAAAGGTGTCTTTAGCTTTATCTGTCTGCCCACTATTTTACAAAAACTCTAGGAAAGTTTACATTCCTCTGAGCTTCCAACTTCCCCACATCTGGTAGGAAGTGTATTGTCTATGTGGGCTAGAGGGCCCTCCTAGAAATAGTCTCCTGGCCTTTTTGACTGCTCACCTGAGGCAATCACTAAATATTTTTAAATCTGTGCTTACATATGACTGCACACCTGTTGGTTCAGTACGAATGATTTTTCATTTATCTATGAACTGTTTGTGCAAGTGAGAATACCAAAAGAGGCCAGGCTCCTCTTTTGTTCAGTGATGATGGCTGGAAAAACTGCAGTGATGATGACTAGTCTCAAGCATCTGCCATGGAGAGAATGTTGTTGAGCATGGTGACATAAAAGGCAGGGAAGGAGACTCTTTTTGACTCAGCAGATGGTGGGAGTGATACCCATTTATGTACAGATGATGGCACATTTTATGAATACCCATAAACCAAAGGATGGGACCAGACAAAATACAATACTATACAACAATGCTGAAGTGTCTTCACATTACATTCTGTCACTTGTCTTTTCTTATGAACTGATGACTGACTGGCTGGTTGGTGCTGGGGAGATTAATCTCTTTAACAAAATACAATTTCCATTGTCCAAAGAAGTGTCTGCCAACACTGTAAAAGCTTTTCTGTTGTATGACCTCCCATGCTGAGAGGATGATGCTTTCAAACTGAGCTTTCAGCTTTGAGGTGCTGGATAAATAGTAATGCACAAGAGCTGAGATGGGGTAGGTGGGGCCATGGGAACTGAAGCGTCTGAGATTTGGCTTTCCTTTTTCCCAAACAGGTGCAGTGCCATACCTATACTGGATACTGCTGGTGTGTCACACCCGATGGCAAACCCATCAGTGGCTCTTCTGTACAGAACAAAACTCCTGTATGTTCAGGTACTGTGGGGTGGGATTTAATTATGCCTTTATTCAGTAATCGAAGGGAGAAGCTGTTTTTGTTCCCAGTGCCAGTAGCTCAATATTTTCCAGGTGACTTTAAGAAACAAAAATTGCAGTTATCCCGCGCACACACTCCAGCTGTTTGCTCTCTGACCTGCCAGATAGCTTGGGCTCTTAATTGGTCTCATGATGGTTGTGGTATCTTCATTGTGGATTAAAGGGCACCTGCCGCACTGAAAGATTTATTGAAAATTGTTCTTAAAGTGAAGAAAGTGATGCCCTGACAAAGCAGAAATAACTGTACTTGCATGTAGACCAGAATCCACAGGTGGTATATCTTTTGAGTAGAAGCTTTCAGTTTAAATTATTTAGATGCATTTTAAAGTTGTTTTGGCTCTGCTTTATTGAGTTAGCACAGAAGGGCAAGAGAATTTTTAAAGCCCTTGACAGCTTCATGGCTGCTTTGTAACAGAGCACAAGCAGTAGAACTGCAGTGTGCTTCAACATCTAGAAATATTTGTAAGATGAGCTTCATCTAGCCCCTTTTTTGTGGGGAGATCATCAGTTTGGAGGTAATGGTGAACTGGACCAGCTGTAGACTTCTGGCAGAATTAACCTAGTGTATGTGGTCGCTGGTGGAATAGGGGGAAAGCAGATGTGTCACTGCTCTAGGGGATGCTCTTCTTCCTGCCCAGGCCACATTTATTGAAAATGGTCAGACTGGCTGATCAGTGGCTCCAAGCTCCAGTGATCAGTCCAAATGAGAGATGGGTAGAGAAAGTATAAAGACAGCAGTTATAGTATGCTGATCTTTCTTTCAGTGCAAGGATGACTTCCTATAGTTAATGTAGCTATAGGGAACACTGTAGTGCAGGAACCAGTGCATGCAAACATAGTGTGGAGTGTTTACACAGCATAAGGAAGCCTTGTGCTGCAAAAGACCCTGATGGTGTTTGGCTTCAGGAAGGAATCCTTCTTGGATATGAAGGGACCAGTTCAACAGTAGAACATGGTTTTGTTTTTCGTATTTTTGAAATGGGATTGTCAAAACAGCTATGGGTCTTAATTTCATTTTTTTTAAATATAAAAGGGCTTGGTAATGCCTCATTTATAAGGCAATTTGAGGAAACCAATGCATGATATTCTATTTCATTTGAAGATATAAATGAAGTTGCTTGTCAGAGATCAGCCAGCGTATCCTCAGGATCCTGGTTCCTCGGTAACAGTTGATGACATTCCTGGTTAAATACAGGTCTCGGGCCCTGCTCACTGTCTTCGCTAGTGTGAAGCTCTCCCTGTTCCCCTCCCCTGACCTCCAGCTGACTTGATCATCAACTTGTGTTCCTTACCTTTTACAAATGGACATTCCCTCACCTTTGTCATATCTTTCCCTCCCCCCAGTCATTAGTATTGTTTTCCATCCCCATGTCTCTCCTCCTGCTCTGGGATTTGATCTCAAGTCTCCCTGGCTCACTGCAATGTTGAGGCCCTTTGAAACCTTGGGCCCTGCGACTACTTTATGTATCTCTTGTTTTAATCTGACCCTGATTTGACATCTCTAGTGCCTAACTATTCCTTGTGTTGCCTTTAAGTATTTGATGGCATGGATTGCTACTGAGGAATCTCTGAATCCTAAATTGAGTTGTTGGCAGGCAAAACAAGCCCTGCCAGCTAAGATCTCAAATTGTATTGATGTGACGTGGTGTGGTTATGTAGTCTCTAAACAGTGTCTCTCTTTTTGTTCTCTTTTTAAGGTTCAGTAACTGATAAGCCTTCAGGCCAGGGTAATTCAGGAAGGAAAGGTGAGTGGAGTTCTGTGCTTTAGTAAAATGTTTCTTTAACTAGGGCTGCCTGGCCGGGTCTCTTGAGATGGTGTAGAGCTTTGTATTGCAACAAACAGGCCTAGGAAGACTCTTAACAGGCTTTCAAATGTACTCCAAAAACATGTGGAATAAAGCACAATCCAATTCAGTGCACCACCCTTATGGGATAAACTGTATATACCTTGTCCTCAGCATCTGAAACATAGGGCCCTGCTACATGTTCAAATTAAAGCTTGATAGAAAACAGCTATAGAGTTATTACACAATTTCAAGCACTAACTTTGTAGCTGGTTGACACTCTTTATAGCTTGATAGTCATTTTTATCATATGATAATTACTTTGCATGTGTGGCTGGTTTAAATTTATTGTGCAATCAACCAGTTAATTGCATAATATATGTAACGTGTAGCAGGAACTGTAGGATATTAAAGCAGATTGTTCCAAAGGAGCAAAATTAACCTTCTTGTGCTTAGTTTACTATTGAAGCTTGTACTCTGCACTTACAGAAAAAAGTTGAGGGCACAAGGCTGGGGAGGCAGGCAGGAGGTTGGTGTGAGGAGGGATCTGCACAAGTTCTGTATTGGGTAGGACTCTCACTGAGTTCAATGGAAGCAGGTTTCTGTTTTCTGAATGCTTTTGCAAATCATACCCTTAGGTCCTTTTAGTGTTTTCCTGCAGCACAAGTTAAATGAATTCTTTGCCATTCCTCCCTTCCTGTATGGCTCCCTCCGTTTGACCCCAGTACTCTTTCCTGCCATGGCAGGGG